TACAACCCCAGCCCACTTTAACAATTTAATGAATGATAATATATGTCTTCTATTTTTGGCAGGACTGAGGATTGATTTCAGAGCTTCACTCATGGGCCAACATCCTTTCCACACCCCCCACCCCTGTGGGGATTTAGGGGTTGAACCCAGATATTCTCTGTTACTGATCTACATTCAAGTCCTTTTGCTTTCTGTTTTAAGACAGTGTCTCCCTCAGTTGCTGAGGCTGGCTTCAAACTTTGGTTCCTCCTTCCTCCGTTTGCAGAGTTACTAGAAAGGTATGTACCTCATGAACAAGTTGGACATTCATTCTTGTGTTTGGTGTGTGTGGTGTGTGTGTGTGTGTATGTGTGTGTGTGTGTGTGTGTGTTTGATCCTGGGGATTGAATCCTGGGGAGTTTTATAACTGAGCTACAGCCTTTAATTTTTTTGTTTTGTTTTGTTTTGTTTTGTACCAGGGATTGAACTCCGGGGCCCTTAAGCACTGAACCACATCCACAGCCCTTTTTAAATATTTTTTTACAGACAGTATCTCAATCTCACTGATTTGCTTACTGACTCATTAAATTGGTGAAACTGGCTTTGAACTGTCAATCCTTCTGCCTCAGCTTCCAGAGCCACAGAGACTATAGGTTTCCACTACCTTGCCTGGCTTGGCCATGGAAGATTTTATTGCTTATTTTGGCACAAGGCTAAATTCCCCGGGCTGTTCACTAACTTTCTTTCTTCCCTCCTTATTCCCCCAGTGACTGAGAGGGAATTACATAGCATAGAGTTACCACTGTGCCTGGCTTTCATGTTTTTTAATTTTTTTTATTTGTCAATGAGCCTTTATTTATTTATTTATTTATTTATTTATTTATTTATTTATTTATTTATTTATAGATGGTACTGAGAATCCAACCCAGTGCCTCACACCTGCCAAGCAAGCTCACTACCACTGAGCCACAACTCCAGCCTTCTCATGTTTATTAATTAAGACTTTTCAAGCACTTATGATAATCAGTGGTAATCTTATGTATAATAAGATGTATTGGTGATTGTTGCTGGTAGTAATGTTTTCACAGGAGTTTCGCTATTGTATCTATATCTTTGTTGGTTTTTGGTACTGGGGATTGAACTCAGAGGCACCTAATCACTGTATCATATACCCATCCAGATTTTTATATTTTATTTAGATACAGGGCCTTGGTGAATTGCTTAGGGCCTCACTATGTTGCTGAGGCTGGGTTTGAACTTGCATTCCTCATGCCTCAGCCTTCCATGTTGCTGGGATTACAAGGCTCTGCTGGCTCTCTGTTTTGTTTAATGATTTTATAGCCTGCTATAGATGTTTGGTCTTTGCCTCTGTTTTAAGGGTTTAGTAAGCAATTAAAGCTTCTATTTAAGCAAGGTATTAAAGCATGCAATAGAGACAGTGGCAGTAGGAATATAAAGAATGTAGAAATTTCATCATCAGCCCATGAGTATGTAAATTTTTTCCTGTGAGATGCATGCCTTCACAACACTCAGTTGTTTGGGTTTTCATAAAAGGCAGAGTGTATTCTTGATATCTTAACCCAAAAAAGAGACTTCTAAAGTGCCTACATAAGCCTTCTTCTGAGATGTAGACAGGTTCTAGTTGAACCATCTGTATGGTTTGAAATTGTGTATCTTTAATTTACTAGGTATAGATAGTAGAGATCTCCATTCTTTAATTTGCTGAACTGGGGATATAGGGGTACCTTACCATGGAACTATAGCCCCAGTTATTTTAAATTTAATTTTGAGACAGGATCTTACTAAGTTTCCTAGCTGGCCTCAAACTTGTGATCCTCCTGTCTCAGACTCCTGAGTCACTGGGATTCCATGCAATACCACCATACATGGATTCCAACCTATTGTTTTATGTATACCATTCATTTAAAATTTGGTAGTTTTTCTGGGTATGGTGGTACATGCCAATAATCTCAGCAGCTCAGGAGGCTGAAGTATGAGGATCACGACTTCAAAGCCAGCCTCTGCAACTTAGTGAGGTCCTAAACATCTCGGTGAAACCCTATCTCTAATAAAACACAAAGTAGGGCTGGAAATGTGGCTCAGTGATTGAGTTACTCTGGGTTTAATTCCTGGTACCCCAATAAATAAGTAAATAAAATTTTCTAGTTTGTTATGATAGAGAATAGTTTCCAAATTTCAAAATGAAAAGAATAAGAATAATAATTTATTCACTTACCTTTATATACTTACTGCAAAAAAAGCCCCATTTATGCCATCATCCTAAGGTACTGAGTAGTGCATATATCACGATTTATAGTGAGAACAGGTTTATGCTACTCAACTAATTTGAAAGAAGTGTTTGTTAGAATGGCACAGAATTCTTACAGTTTGTGCCACTTTCAGAAATTCTTCCCAAGACATCAAAGGTGAAAATACAGTGGAATATTGAGAATGAAGAAGAATGCTATGCAATTTCCATTCTCTATACTTTCATTAAAATTAAAATTTGGACTTTGTTCAACCCTTCACCTCTATGCATCCTGCTGACTGACAGAAACAAGGAGATGATTTACTGAGTCAGAGTTTATTGAAATAAAATGAGAATTGTTGTGTAGGTTTACAGTGCTCAGAGGGGAGAGAATAATGTAAAAAACCCTCACAGAATACATTGTAGATGAGGTACTTTAACCACATAGTAGGATTTTCAAAATTCTTAAAGCCCATTTGTTCAATTAATATGGAAAAAGGCCTTGTGAAAATTAAAGTCTCATTGAAGCTGAGGTTTTCCAGTACAGGAGCAGTTTTTGGAGATGCCGGCTTGACCACCTCAGTGGACAGTCAGGATAACAGGTAAGGACTCTTATTGCAAGTTGGTAGCAGGTGGTATTGGTGGGTGAGGCTTCTGAGATTAATTCACAGTTGATGAGGCCTTGCCTGGTCACTGTTTGGCTCCAGGCTTTCAGAGAAGTGTCATGGGCTTTCACATGACAGAGTGTGACTCTACCTTAACCTAAACTCTCAAGATGTCTGTCAGACTCTTGAGTTGGGATCTTTTCTGAAGCTCAGTAGTTTAGATCAGTAGCTGACTCGTGGGGAGTCTGGATGGGACATACGAGGTCTGGCAACACATCATGCTGTAGCGAGAAGGGAACATGCTCCCAAAACATCAAACTTTAGAAGTATTTAGAATCATTTCATAGTTACATAACACACAGCCCAGCACCAAAACCAAGCCACCCTCTGCCCTGGTTCCAGGCTTAACCCATGGACAGGTGGACACAAGGTGCCCTAATTCCAAGCCTTTTTACATTCTGGAGCCTGAAAAAGCTACCCAGAAGCTATAAGGAAAAAGTGGGTAGAGAGAATGAGTTCTTAGATGAAGAACCCAACTGGCCGGGTGGACCATGCCTGTAATTCTAGTGACTTGGAAGGCTTAAGCAGCAGGGTCGCAAGTTGGAAGCCAGCCTCAGCAACTTACAAAATGCTGTTTCAAAATAAAAATGGCCACGGGTGGTGCTCCATGATAGAGTGACCCTGGGTTCCATCCCCAGCACTGCCCTCACCACTCCCCTCCACACCCAAAAAGCCTGGTTGCTCTTGCCAGCAGGCCTGTGGGGTCCAGAAATAGACAGAGCATTCCCACCGGGGTTCCCACTGATCACAGTTACTCTTTACAAGGTTTGCCTCCTTCTCCACACCTCTTCAAAAATCTTTTCCAACAACTTTATCTTACCCCCAAAGTTTATGATGTTATTTCAAAGTACATTCATTGTGACATCTTATTTTCAAAATGAATGTTTTTTTGACCCATGCAGGGCATGTGTTCACTCCAGTCACCACATGTGCACCTTATTGAAATTTGACTCTCTTTTATGTTATTTGTTCCTGAGGACTTGAACTTTTTATATATGTTGTGAAAGGGACTTTTTGAGGGTTTTTGTTTTTTGTTTTTTTTTTTGGTGGTGCTGGGGATTGTACCCAGGGCAGTGTGGATGCAAGGCAAGCACTCTAACTGAGCTATATTCCCAGCCCTGAAAGGGACTTTTACACGAGGTTATTGCTGATTTCAGTGATTTTTCTAATGATTTTCATGAGAATGAGGAATGATGATTTTTTTTTTTTCGCTACTTTGTGTAATGCAGGTATCACCAGGTAAAATGTTCTTCAGCACTCATGTCTGGTCCCTGAGTGCTTTTGATCTTTAGCTTGCAGTCATGAAGCTGGTTATAGAATTCAGTTGTACATGTGTTAAACTCTTATTCAGGTCAAGTGGGTATTGACCTTATAAAATATGTTCCTGAGGCTGTGAGGTTAGATTCAGGTTCCTAATGTTTACATTTGTGGTCTTATCTCTAGCTGGAAATGTGGCCGCTTTTAATTTTTTTTTCTTTTTGTTTAGGTACCAAGGACTCGAACCCAGTGATGCTTAACTACCGAGTCACCTAGCCAACACTTTTTAATATTTTACTTAGAGATGGGAGTCTTATTAAATTGCTTAGGACCTCTATAAGTTGCTGAGGCTGGCATTGAACTCATAATCCTCCTGCCTTACCTTCCTGAGTTGCTGGAATTACAGGTAGGAGCCACTATTCCCAGCGTGGGGTATTATTTTCAGGATTTGTGTCAGTGTTAGACTTTTTAAAACCTCTGCCATTGTTTTTGTTGCTGTTTGACAGATCCATGCAACCCAATCATGGCATTTTTCTCTGTACTTGAACTTTATTTTATTTAGGTAATGACTACCTGTGAGTCAAATTTGGCCTGCCACGTGTTTTTCTAAGTAAGGTTTTATTGGAACAGTCATGACTGCTTTCTTAGCACAGGAGCACAGTTGAGAAATGGTGCAGACTGGATGACCCACAAGGCAGAATTATTTACTGGTTGGCCCTCCAAGGAGGCATTTTCTAGTCTGTGCATTCCTGTATCCTTCACCTCTTCTAGACAAGGCTTGTGGCCTATGTTAGTCAGGTTTTTGTCGCTAACAACAAAGTCCATGACAAGAACAACTTAAAGGACTAAAATTTTATTTTGGCTCATAGTTTTAGAGGTTCAGTCTATGGTAGACTTACTGCATTGCTCTGGGCCCAAAATGAGGCAGAATGTCATGGTGGAAGGGCATGATGGAGGAGTGCTACCCCATTGTTTTTGACCAGGAGACGGAAAGAGGGGAAGGGCAAGAGGCCACCAGTAATATGGACCCTTTAAGGATAGGTACCCAGTGACCCAGTTCCTTCAATCATACCCCACCTGCTTATGACTCCCACCCAATTACTCTATTCAAAATAAGATGAACCGATTTAGGTCACAGCTCTAAGTCTAATCATCTCACCTTTGAATAGTTCTGCATTAACAGTTTTTCAGGACACTTATGTCCAAATCATAACATGATCCTTTTTAGTCTAGACTGCAGGGCCCTTGCTTCAGTAGTTTTCTTACCAAGCAAAATGCTGCCCTTACCCGGGTATATGCTCTAGTGGGGGAGAGATGGGCAATAGGAAATAAATTAATAAATAGGAAATAAATTAATAATTTCTACTGAATATAACCTCAGAGTTATATTCAGTAGAAGTTATTTGTAAGTGCAGTAAGTTGCAAAGAGGCTGAGCGGAGGGTTGAGAGGAAGCAGTGGGATAGTACAGTGGACACTGAGGTTCTTCCCAGGCCTGGAATTCATGAGCTCTTCCATTT